GTGTGTGTGTGTGTGTGTGTGTGTGTGTGTGTGTGTGTATATGTAGTATTGAAATGGATAAATTCAGCTGGGAGCTCATTGGGGGCTGAGAAATCCTTACCTGCAGTTACATTTGTCTTACAATTCCTCACACACACACATACACACTGTCTAGCACTGCTGAATAGGGAATGATGGTGAGAGTGATGAAGGGATGGCAGGAAGAGAGAGAGAATGGTGTTGAGGAGCAATGATTAGAGGATTACTCTCACCTGAGGTGCTCCAGGCAAAGAGAGTGAGAGATTGAGGAGGGGGACAGACTTGTAAGAGGGTGATGGGTGAGAGAGAGTGGAGACAGAATGATTAGTATGAGTTTTCCTTCACTGATGAAAAACACAGGGAGTAAGGGGAGAGGGTGGGCACTGAGGAATATATGTGGAAAGCCAAAGACAACAAGAGAGAAGGGGATTTGGAGAATCTGGAGAGCCCTTTGGCAGAGAAAGCGAGAGGGAATCTGGATGGCAGACGGACAGGGCCAATGATTATGGGATTGTGAAGAGCCCTAGGTGAAAAGAGAATGAGTAAGAGATGGGTAGGTGTGGAGCATGGGGAAGCAAAAGCAGTGCACCAGTGGATCGGAAAGAGAGAAGGGCAAGGTGGGATGAGAGGCGCAATAATGAAAGAATGGACCTCACTAGAGACGAAGAAAGTCAAAGCTGTCGTTGGCCGAAGGCATGGAGTGCAGTCGTCTTAAAACACTTTCCACCTAATACTTTTATTTCACCTTTCTCCCCTCGTCTTTGCTGTTATCATCCACTCTTCTCTTTTTCTGACACTCCTTTTCATACCTTGGCCTTTTCACTCTTCCTGTTTTTGTTGAAGGACATTAGCCCCGCCTGATGTAATTCCCTGCTAACTTTTGAAACTGTGTTTTCCGCGTGACTGCAAATATATGAATCAAATTTGTCCTCCTCCCCTCCATCCATCTTCCTCGTAATCCTCAAGTCATCTTTGCCTATCCCAAAGCAGTGCTTGTCTGTCATCCTGTAATGACGACTGTATGTGATAGCAGAACAACTTGTAGGTTGTCTGCGACATATGTGTAGATCTGCCCTAAGGACACCGAATCCAGCCCTTTACATACTAACACTGGAGAAGAAGGGAGAAGGAGTAAGCATGACAATGAATGCATTCTCCCTTTAGCTACAGTAGGACGTACGTATATCCTTCCCCCTTAGCCAGGCATGGCCTAATCAGCGAGCTAATTACCACTCTTTGTAACTGCGTCTGCCTCATGTAACTGATTGCATTAACAACTGCCACGCATCAAACAGTCATGTCTCACGCTTGTGCATCTCATTATACATTAAGGACACGCAAGGTTAAGTCCAAACTTTGAGTGGGAATAAAATGAGAAATATTTTCTACGCAGCTGGTGGTCAACTCTATCTCTCCCTCCTCTGTTCATTCTATAGGCTTAATGAATTACTGTAGGCTGTGTTCTCAGCCATGTGATTTATTTCCATGTGTTTAAGGGAACTTAATATCATTAAAGATGTAATGCATGCCATATTTATACAATATGTTTCTGTTGAGACCAGCTGGAGAATAAAAGAAAATAGTAGGGGACAACATATGAGATTATAAATACTAAAATCAATAAAGTGTGTGGTTATTGCTACTGATGTGGATTTATTTGGCTATTGCTCAATAAAGCTGCCTAAATTTGGACCGTTTAGACTGAGGGAATGTGAGATGAAGTTTTCAGGGAATGTCCTACAAATCATAATGGTTTCTAAATTTATAAACTAAGCTTCACAGGTCTACAGCACCACTGAAAAACAAATTATGGGAAACAACAATTCAGAGGAGGTCATTTTCAAATTATCAGAGAAAAGGTAACTGCTGAGTAGTTGGTACAAAGAATGTGACACTAATGATGAAATGAATCCATAAACTACTCTTTACACAATGTAACTATATTTTCTACATGATATGAAACCATGTTATCATTAAGCCTATGTTCTATTTCTTATGTATATTTAGCTGTGTTGTAAATTCACTTGATGGGTGTCTTTTAAACTTCAAATTACTTTTTTTGATGTCTTACAGAAGAAGCAGAGGACTAAAGAACTGTCTCTTCTCTTCCACTCCTACAACCCATACGACCACCAGGTAAGACATCTTTAACTTTGTGTTCCTGGATCAATTCCCTGGATTACATTTTTCCATCTCTGTCTTCATGTTTCAGTTTTGCTTTTAAAATGAACTGGTGTGTCTTTCTGTCTTTGCAGTACAGTTAATTGTTTTATCTGCTGATATGTGAATAGGGGAAACCCTCAAAACTAGAAGTGTTCACTTGACATAACAAGTAGTTGTACATCAGCATTGCTGAATTGTCTTGATGAGTTAGTTGCCTCCTCAAAATGAACCCGTCTTGTCAGCAATCTAGTTGATGAGGTTTATCTGATTCCATTGTGAGTGTGTTTGTGAGATTGAATTCTTAAGCCAGAGATAAATCTCCTCAAATTTGTGTGTGTGTGTGTTTGTGAATATATACTCCTGCGCTTGTGTGTATGGGGTCCTATTCATTGTGAGGTTAACATCTGACATGACTCTCTTCAGGCATACGAACAATGATGAGATTATTGTGTCAGAACTGGAGGACGGGAACAAAACCTTGTCACAGACACAACGTCACAGACTGGTGCCCGGTAGAATCCAGGGGTTAATTCTTAACTCAAACTCAGTACAAGTGTGTGAGTGTGTGTGTTGCCAATATCCTCCTCTGTCCTCTTGTAAGTGACAACTCCATGACATCTGCTGCCACAAATTTCTGCTGTCATGAAAAAGAAAAATTAGATTTTGACATGCTATACTATCTCAGGTCCTTGTGCATGGAGGGCTGTGGCCAGCTACAACATAGTGCATGTTGTGAACATGTAGGTGATGGAAGCCTTTCTAGCAGGTATCACAGTGTCAGTCATTCAGCAAAGCTTAAGCATTGCCATGTTTTTTTTGGAGTTTATTCCTCCGAAGGAGTTTGTTCCTGTGGTGGAGTTGTTATGTGTTACACATTAATTAAAAGGATATGAGACGGATCACGTTTTCACTGTGGCAGGCATGAAGCTTTGCCTCCCACACACTCACTCACTCACACACACACAATTAAAAGCACACTAATGATAATACACATGGAACACACATGCACATGACTCAGAGGATAAGCACACACCTAACACAAACAGGGGATATAAATTGAGCAAAGTTAGCAGAGAATATCTTATTAATACATTAACATGTCTGCATATAAATGAGACACTTTGTATTTGTGAACATGCTTTCGCCACACGTTTGATTCCCAGAGGAATTGAGAATCTGTCGGTGTGACAGTGTGCCACACTGAGCCTGCTGTGCTGAGCTGCTCCAGCTCACAAGTACCACTGAACATTTGTTCTGTAAGAGCGTTTTTTGTGCTTGCTGCTTTGCTTGTCTTCTGGGAACATGTTGATCCATTAAAGTTTTAAGAATGAATATTATACTTCAAAAAATTACAATATTTTTTGATTGTCTCACAAGAAGTCTTGGAAATATGGTAAATGATCTGTATTTATATGCAGCTTTCTGAGTCTTGATGACCACTCAAATCACTTACAGTACAGCACAGTGTACCTTACAGTTTTGCCATTCACACACTTTCTTTAGAATTCATCACTCCTACACTTGCCGCCAACCTTCTGGTTAGTGGACAACCCACGTTCTGTAACCTCTGAAACCACAGCCACCATCGGATGAGATTGGCTGTGTTCAAGGTTGTGTATTTCCAAAACCCATTAAAGGCTGTTGAACAGAGACACCTAAAACAGGGGTCTTCTAACAAGTCTCACCTTCTCAAATCACCCCCCCGCAAAATCCACTTCTGAAATGTCTGTCTGTTTGCATGTGTATTTCCTATGTTAGCACAAATAGTAGAATACAGGGGTTGAGCGTTTCATGGACAGATTTGTAAGGTACCTCTTTAAATGTACTGTATTGTCTCACCAGTTGTTAGACCTCTTAACTTACTCTTAGCATGTTTGAGATCCTCAGGGACGAAGCCCTTGTCTGCTCCAAAGTTAGGCCTAAGGATGAAGCGTGGCTGCAGTCCCAGACCCCCTGAAAGGCTCTCTCAGATCAAACAAGCGTTAAAAAAAAAGTTAGAATTCCCCAGATAAATTTCTCCTTCATTTGTATTTGCCACATCCTGCATCTTTCTTGGTTTATAACACATCATTGGTCTGATATTCTATACGTTTCTGATCCCCAGCAGAGTAAAATGTCATCCAACTCACTGATAACCTTCCTTTATCACTATATTAGGGCATGACATGTGTCAAAAGTAATCCTGTCCTATTCTATGATATGTGATAGTCCTCATGCATAAATATTTTCATATATCAAGCAAGTTTCATGTAAATCTTCCACACGGCTCAACTTCCGGCCATGTTTTTGTCGGCCTATATCTTTTTTCCATAGATTGTGTAGATGTGCAAATAAATCCTCTTGCATTACAGGCCCAGATAGCCGTGAGATATGATTTAATGATAATAAATCTAATGTCAAGCATGCTTCCTTCCAGATCAACCGTGGTTCTGCCTGTCCTTGCCCATATCCATACACCATGGAACACGTTCAAGGCAAAATAGCTTCTATTAAGCCTGTATAGCCGTTAGATAGAAATAAATGAAGTCTGATAATGTCCCTCATTTTATATTAAATTCCCTTGGGTGTCTGGCCTTTCAGCTTACAGTTTATGTAAGGATATTATGTGTTTACGAACATGTCTGTGTGTGTTTGTGAGAGAGAGATAGATAAAGAGGGAGGGAGGGAGAGAGAGAGAACACAGAGGGAAGCGAGAAATTGGCGTCTTTACAGCCATTATTGTTAATACACAACCTCCTATAGGTCTACAAAGGTCATTAATAAAGACATTGGGGGGTGGGGAGGATTGAGAGGCTTTATTATTCCATAGCTCGAGGCTACAAACCAAATGAAACAATGTTTTTAAATGAACTAATTGTTGTATTTGTACCACGCTTGTTTCTTAAGCTCCCATGGCTAACTCTGAATCACACACGGGTAAAATTACTTGCTGAAACACAAGAAGAAATGGGCCTTCACTTAGACCAAGTATTTTTTCTTTGTTTCTTCTATTTCCTATTTGTTCTCTTATTCATTTATTTAAATTTCTCTTTCATCCTTTCTTCCACTTTGCCTCTAAACGGCAGCGAGTTAGATGTTTTCTTCTGTGCGCGTATACGTGTAGACAATTCGTCTGGTGTCTGTATGTTTAAGAGACAGAGGTGTGTGTGTCTGTGTGTGTTTGTGTGTGATGATTAATGTGAAGTATCCTATAGCCAGATGGTGCTGAACAAGGCCCATCCATCAGCAATGAAAAGACCAGTGGGCAGAAAGCTGGCAGAGCACTTTGTCTAGGGCCAATGCCCTGCACTGGACAAATACACACACACACACACACACACACACACACAACCACACACACACACACACACACAACCACACACACACACACACACACACACACACACAAGCCAGACCCTCTAAGGCCTTGACTGTGTAACCCACTGAGCCATGTTAAGCCTCGTGTTTTGTTTTGGAATACAGGTTCCTTCTTGTTTTTTTGCTGCCTGGGTCCCACATGAGTGTTGCTGCCTCACCCTTGAAAGTAAATCTGGTATAGTCTTGAAATGTACAGGTCCTCAACCCATTCTGCCTCCTAAGACAGATTTTTAAAGGTCATGTGTTTTCACGCCCGTTCATCCGTTTGTTTGTTGTTTTGTTTTTAAACAAGACTATGCAAATACTACTGGATGGATTACTAGGAAACTTGGTGGAAGGATGCAGTATGGGTCAGGAAAGAACCCATTACATTTTCAGTTGGCCTTTTCAGGAATAGTTGTTCACCGTCTTTAACGCTGTATTTTTCAACCTTTCCTTGATGTCTCCGATAGAAATTCATGGATCTTGATGGAAAAATCTGCTATGTTTAGGAGACTAATATTTAGTTTTAATTTGGTAGAGATCCAAATAATAATCTGGATCTAGTGAATTTAAATTTTGTTTCATAAGGAAGCCGTTGGGCCTTATATGCACTCTACTGAGTGCCCCTCTCAGGTTTTAGTCTTCCGCCTTTCTTTACTTGCACTCACATATTTATAAATGTTGTCATCCACTGGAGCCACTATTTTCACCCTGCGGTCATAGTCGATTCTTAAGTGAGTTTTACTGGAGGAGTCTTTTCTGCCTAATTGGGTGAATTTAAAGCGGTAACTGGTCTAAAACCTGTCTCTGCTGTGCCTGATTCCTGTTTTCAGTTTATCAGTGATTACTTCTGCTTTGTTCATTAATGAGATAGTCAAGGATAGTTCTCTTTGCTACCAGCATGCTTGTCTTAGTACTGTTTGTCTGGACTGACCACATGTTATTCCCTTGTGCAAATGTGTAGTTAGAATATAAGTATGAACAGACCACACATCACGCACAGACAGACTTTTCTCTCTCTGCAGCAGCACAGTGTCATCTGGTGTGAAGTTTTGCTCCCCGAAGGGTTTGCCCTTCCAGGTTCAGGTTGTGAAACTCCCATCATGCTCTAGTCCTTCTCTGCAAACTCAATATTAGTGTGTGTGTGTGTCCACGCACTCAGCTGCTGCTGGCAGAGCTAACAAAGCCCCTCTCACCCCACATATTCTCCTGAGAACACACACACACACACATGCACACACATGCATTCTCCATGCTGTGTTTATAGGCCTGAATGACAGGGGGGGTGACAGTTTTCCCTGCGGCAAGAGAGGAGGGACAAGCTGTCAACATGGCCCGCTGCATCTGCCCCACCACACAAGACACAGAAGAGCGAGCAAAACAGAAAAGGGAGGAAGATAGAAATAGAAGGGGGAGGTGGAGGTGGCTAAATTAAACGACTCGTAATGAAAGAGTAAAATGAATTGAAAGAAAGACATGTTCAAAAACTAAAACACTTAATTACACTCAGTAAACTTTACCCCTACAGTTATTATGAACTACCAGATTGTTTCATAGAAGTTGACATAATTATCATTTGAAGAAAAAGAAAAACAAATGTTAATTAGTCTCTCTCTTCACCACAGATCTCTGTG